AGCCCCTCCTACATTTAACCATGAACTTAAAGCACACGTATATCTTAGAAACACTTGGAAATATACATTAAGTGAACGGAGAACAACTGTCGCATTTTCCCGCCTTTTTCCTGATTGTCTGTCAAGGTTAATATAGCATATATCCCGGACGAATACAAGTGATATTCTAGTGTAGGACTTACGACTTATCAAAAAATGATAAGCTGATAGAAATAAGAGAAAAAAGACTGGTAAAACTGATTGAAAATGAATGAGTAAAATTAAATGAATGCAAAACAGATGGCCAAAACGACTGTGTCTCTTCAAAATCAGCTAAGTGAGAAATTTAGCGCTCGACAAGAAGCGGCCATTCGCAGGCTACTTATAAAGTACATTAAAAAAATTACACTTCATCTCTACATTTCCAGTGAAATGCTTTTTCAATACGTGCGCTAGTTCTTAGCGGCTTGTAGACCAACGTGGAACGGAGTCGATAAACAAGTGAGGTTATTAAGCCATTAACCAAGTTTCATCCCAACGCGTCTTTTAGTCTGATATAGTACTGCGCGGCGCTTTGCCTTGGACTTCTCATTATCACAAATATGAGTTTGAATAATGAGTTTTCTAAACTAATAAACCTTCGTCGGTAAATCACAAACAACTAAGCGCACTAGTTTTCCGCAACTCATGATATCTCATTTTTCGCTTTTAGGAAATTCATCAACAATTTGTAAGGCTTCCAACTATATAGACTTCACTAACTGAAAAGGGACAAAAAAGGAGACTTCTTATTGTAAAATAGAAATTAAATACGAAACTGGATCAAGGATATTACATAAATAACATGATTCATTGTCAATAGATTCAGGAAATCATGAAAAAAACATAGTCATGTTTGAATAAGATGTGGGTGAATTTGGTAATCGGCTGTACTGAGGCTTGGCTAGACAATCGAGAACCACCTTGAGAAGGGGAACCTATCCATTTTCACTTTTCACTTTATTTTTTAAAGCGTTCCATTAAACATATTTTGTCTCTATTCCGCTTCTTTAGCATTAAACCGTATGCTCAGTTTTTGAGTTTTCTTTTTCAAACTTAATTCAAAGCTCAAAAGTGTTCTAACTTTTTTTAATGCGCGGGTAGAATTGGGCTTTTACCTCATTATTTACAGCATTGTGACAAACGAGTTCAAAATACCCGAAATCAATCCAGATTTCTACATGAAATAAAGTAAAATAAGAATAAAATATAAACAAATCAAGCTACAGGATGAGCAACGAAAAATAAGTATCAATACTTTAAAAGCAACGACGATTGGGTATTTATTAATAGAGCTCTTGATGCTATTCACAAAATTACTAAAACATTGTAAAAAATCAATAATGAATCAACGAGTTGAACACGAATGCTTTAAGGGCAACTGTTCGTTAATATAATTATTTAAGCTTGTCGCAAATAGAATAACAATGAAAGAGTGGGGATAAAAAAATCCCACTGAAAAAATAATTATATAATCTTTGAGCATATGTTACTGATAAGCCCGTGAAACAATAATCAAAATGTAATATTTGTGAGACGCCGAGGCCGACAAAGAAAAACGTGAAATGTAAAGAGTAATAAAAGTACAGTACAGTAAATTGTATTTCACGGCTTAATGAAAACATTTCTATCTACGCTGGTTTCAAACATAAATATCTTTAATAAATTTTTGAATATCAAAGCGCCGAAAGCGAAAATAACGGTATATATCAAACCCTGAACAATACTGATTTCACTTTTTGAATGAAGTTAACATCTAAAATAAAAATAAACTCGTATGATAATAATAATGATTAGTGATAATAATGTTTTTAATAGTCTGTGCTGATTATTATGATGATAATAAATATTTTTCATCGCGATAACAACTTTATTTCTTTATGAGTTGAAATTGTTATTTGATAAAGGAAACCATAGATGCAATTTCCTAAAAAAGTAATAACAATAACACAAAATGACTACAAAATATCTAACAATATAAACATCATATCTCTATAAAATTCATAGCTACATGTGGAATATAACTTTGATGTGTGAATATCATTAATAAACGGATAGGATTATCTTGGATTTCTATGTACTGTTTAAAAAGTCTTGTGAAAATTTTTTATACGACAGTTGTACAATCAAATTTGTAATTATCCTTTAAGATTTCTATAAGGTTTTAAAAATCTCTGCAAATCTACATTTCCTACTTCAAGGAATTACTGAAATATTACAGCAAGTTGTACTAATTCATTGTAATATTTCCATTTTTATAATAGAATTGCTAAGACTAAAATTATTATCACTATTAATGACAATAAGAATAACAACAATTACTCAAAAATAACAATAAAAAATATAACGAGAAAAGATTATGAAAAATTAAAATATATTATATGAACAAATGTCAATAGCCTTAGAATAGTCGCGAAAATTATCTTCGAACGCCAACTCGACATCATAAACTCGAAAATAATATTCATATCAAAATGTTCGTACGATCAATCTCTATTCAAGCTGATTGTCCGGTTTCATTCATAAACCCGATGCGTCGCGATACCTTAGAACGTTCGTGATGTATTCTTTCTCCAGAACAGTTATTAGTGACTTAGTTAACTTGTTTTTTGTGTCTTTTATTCAGTCACCGGAAACAATCACACAGAAAAACAAATGTACAACAATGTAATTCATCTTCTTTGAGAAAAAAAATTCCCAAAATCGCTTTATCGAAATATGTTTTGGTTTGGTCGTAACCAGCTTAAATTGAGTTTTGCTTTCTTTTCTCGCCCGACAGGAGAATCACGGAACAATACTTTAGTCAAATATGACAACCTTTTATTCGATGCTTTCACTCTGTGATCTTTTCAATCAACCAAACAGCTTGAAAAACTTTTTTAATTCACGTTCACCACACGACCGAAAACAAGATGGTTATTTGAGGTTTTTTGGCTCGCAGCGAAAACGCCATCTTGTCTTGGAGTTCTCAGTGGCCTTGGCTCCGATATGTCGTATTCACATCAACTCTCTGTTACTTCATATCACTGTTGGCAGACAAGGCTCTTGAAACAGAGCGATGTTTCCGAGCGTTGACAGGTTTGACACGAGCGGCTCTCTTTGATGTCAAGTCTCACCTATTAATAATCTCCAAGCACTCACGAAAAAGACGGGCGACCGACAGCTCAATGATTGACAACTCGCCTCGCTAATGATGTATTTACTCTTGAAAGAAACTAATGGTGTTTTTAGACTATAGGCCTCCCATGTTCTTCTATAAATAATTCAGCATTCAGCCTTTAGCGACAGAGATTACTTTCAGTTTTAATACAATCCTTGATAACCGAACGAGTGGCCCCCACTTTCGTGCCACGCTAAAAGCCGAACCACTTGACGCTAAACTTTGTGGGGTATTGGCTGAAGTGGTAGGCTTCGGCATTGCCTGGATTTCCCTTTGATGTTAGTAACCGAGAAGAACTCTCTGACAATTGGCTCGTAATGAAAGCTATGTTATGAAATGACAAGATAAGATGTGACAGCCGGACTAGTCGAATGACAACGATGGCTGCCGCTCATTGTGTACCTTTGATTGCTCTAGATTACCTGCCAAAAAACGGGATGAGATCAGGCTGAGAAAAACAAATTAGTCAGGCTGTCTGTTTACATTATTAGACCTACACCTCGATCCGCAATTCATCTTCTTTATGATAACAACTTCAGGTTTGTCGTACTATCAAATCTGTCCTACACACGAGATATCTAGAGCAGTCCCCCGGCAAAATAAAGCTGATAGCTGGCATTTTAAAAGCCTGATAGTCAGATAACTCAAGCCAAAGTTTTCAATCTCAATGACTCATCTTTTTACGCCCAAGATAATCTATCCCTCCTCGGTTTTTGTTTACCAAGCTATTCTCACTTTAGTCCAGCTGGCTAAGCGATGTGCTTGAGTCTCTTTTATGTCGAAAACACTCTGACAGCAAAATACGAAACTAGACAACTTAGGACTTGGAAATGTTAACTATCCCTCCAGCAATGATAAACTCATGACAGAATCAGACGCTTTGAGACCATCTACAGCGAATCGTATCGAGAAACTTCTGGTGACAATGCAAGACACCAATTATTACTCCAATATTTCTGGAATTATTTACGCAAATAAAACAAGCCTCCCACAGTTCGCAGCACTAGTTGGAGCCGTGTTAAAGAGAGCTCACACTACATTTTTATCAATAATAGCTGGACTCGAATACAATTCACAAAAGCACAAATTTCCTCCGGCGCCCGAGAGGCTGGTTAGGCTTAAGTTAATAGTTTGCAAATGTTGGAAGGGTGCTTGGTGYTCTTTGACACGGCCGTCACAGCCATTACTCTTGTCAACACATTATCTAATCATTGGGCCGCGAGCGCCTGTAGCTCTTATAGTGATAGATGACTCGATAAGATAACAATTCAAGTGTCAGTAGATCAAACAGCGCCGAAACGCAAACATAACGTGGAAGAAAGCCGCTCTTCTAAAACCTCTATTTTGAGCTCATCGTATAGCCTATTATTCGGGTAGGTTTGAGCTGCCACCAGCTTTTTCTATTCTACTAAAGGACTTTTGTACAAACAAAAGCCGACAAAAGCTGTCTTTAAATTGTATAAGCAACACCACGATCAAGTATGACATTTAGCATTGCACTCACTTCAACACATAGCTCAAGACAATACTTGACAGGGATAATTGACAATGATTGACAGGTTGATTGATTAGCGCCCGTAGGTTGACACTTTGGGCTATCCGCTACTTAATTAACCTCTGTCCCGTGATTGGTGGATTACTAAATCGTCTATCAATATCCTATATGGCCAATTACTTCAACGTCTAAGTATGACAAGCTTGTCAGGCTGATTGTCCAATCAAGTAGTGAAATATCGCTAAAGAAGCTATTTGATTGGATGGCGGCAAAAGTCCTCTAATCTAGCCAATTCATTTATGAGTGAAGTGAGCGCTAGCTTTGTCTGAAGTCGGCTCGTTTCTTCTGTATCTACACCTTTCATTGTATAGTATTTAATATTTCACTAGAGCGACCGCACACACACATTCTCGCTACAGAGATGCCTACGAAGACTTTCGGCCTCAGTAGACAAGTGGAACAATCCGAGAAAAATTCTTCATCGAATCGCGTTCCTCTAGAGGCCCTACAAATGTTGACTCAGAGTGTCTCCAAGTGTAACCAAGATTATATCCAACCACTTCCTTTAAAGGTACAATTTGTAGATCTGCTGGGTTGGATGTTTGTGTGTGAAACACAAACTGAGTGTATATATTCTTGTACATAGGCTTCTACTCGCTTCTAAAATCGTCTAGTACGCTCTCTGTCGCAAACTGACAATGTTGTGATGCTAATTGTAGGGTTTTCMTTTAATTCACAGGAGGATGAACAGAAAAAGTCACCTCTTGCTCTGCTCGCCGCTACGTGTAGCAGTATCGGCAAAGCTGAACCCGCAAAAACAGCGGAACCTCTTCGAGATAACACATCTCTTACTGCTAAGATAAGCTCGGATGAAACTCGGTCATCGTTCAAACCATACAAGCAAAGTCCCGAGAAAGAAGAAGAAACCGAGAAGTCAGGATTCCGATCTCCTAGTAAGGAAAACATGTCGCGTGGCTCTCCAACAGAGTCGAAGGAAGAACGCAGTAAATTACTGCAGTACTCAGATACAGAGGGACATTGTGGATTTGTTCACTCGCAGCAGAATAGGGTATGTGGTGGTATGGTTGTTGAGCCTAATCAAGCACAGAATATGCATCCATTACATAAAGAATGCGGTGGGACAAGCTGTACATCTCATCCTTCAACTCTCCTGCCTTTCAAAGGCTCAATGGCATACCCACCRTCAATGACAAGCCCAGAGCAAGCAGCTCTAAAATCCCACGGACTGCCAACGTCTAATGTTAGTTCGATATATCCACAATGTGCATGCGTATTTTGTGCACCTCACGGGGAAAACGTCGCTGCTCAAGCATTATCGCGACAATTGCATGTGCCCGCTACACCGTACATGGACTATCTCCAGAGAACAATATGTAGAGATGCAAACTGCACAAACTGTAGGGCTCCTGTTAGCCCCTATGGACTTCCAACTCCTGTACARCAATGTGGACCGCACTGTATGCAATGTGAAAATATGACCAARCCAACGGAACAGCCTGCCGGGCCATACTCATGCTATTACCCGACACACGGTCTTGCTATGTTCAAGAACGCACAAGAGGAGGGCCATCCTTATGTTTGTAACTGGGTCTCGGGCGCAAAACATTGCGGAAAATCGTTTGCCACTTCAGAGGACTTATTTCAACATTTGCGAACTCACACACAACTCGGGMATAACGCKGTGAGTSCACCAAATMCACAACCGTCCGGTCCGTGTAATATTCATGGCTGTCCGTGTAAGCTTCAACAAGGCCCAGTTCAATCATCTTTGCATTCCTCCCGTTACCGACCATATTACTTCAAACCTTCGTTGATGCCAAGTCCACCAACAGTACCAATAAGTTGCTACTCGGCTTCGCCTTATGSATCTCTCCATGGCCTTCCATATGATCCACACAGATTATTCAAATAATGAACTGAAAATATCTTTCATTTTAGTAATAAATTCTTGTATTATAGGTTTGAAATCATAACTCCMATTCATGACAATGTACAGTAAAATATATGGGAATATCTTAAWCTGTTTTGTCTTATTATTGTGTTTACTGTGAAGAAAAGTTAAACTTTCAAGAGCACTCTTACGATTTTGTAGTTTTAAAAACTAATTCATAAACGTAATGGCAGAATTTAGATAAGAAAAACCCATACAATAACAAATCAACGCAATTTAATGTCAATTCTTAACCTGTAAATTCATCGCAAAGGGAATTGAACTAAATAAGAAACGACTTGAAGTTTATTTTCAAAGATATTTACTAGGATTATTTGAGTCTATTTTGTTTGGTAAATGACTTCCCTACAGCAGGCTGTGGGGCATATGTTTAAAATGGTTTTAGTTTCTATATTTCGGTTTCTAAAGGGATTTTTCAATGATATGTTAAAATAGGTTCTCGGTCATAACAATGAATAAAACATTTATTGCATATCACGGAATAGCTTTTTAGTATTTTATGTCTCAAATCTTCTCAAATAAAATGCCTGCTATCATATTCGGGATCTTTTTTAAACCTCTATGGTGTTTTGCCCTTGATATCTTTCGAAATCGTTATCAGATAAATTAAAACCTTGTATAGACGGTGAAGAAAAGACGTTCATCAATGTTCCTACTACTACATTAAATAAACAATACTACAAAGGAAAAGCCCTGCAGGCGAAATATAAAAAAAGATCTATACGCGTCATTTGGGATATCTTTCTCTATTGAAGCACTTTTCCATTGCTAAGAAGTGTGATTGACAACGCAAAGATCTCTGTCATTAGCGCGTGATGTATGCTATCGAGAAGTGTCATTTTGACGAGCTCAAAGGAAGCCGTATCCATAAAGACCATTTCTTTRCTCTCACCCACATGCCCAAACATTCTCAAGTGAGTTCAATTTTGGAAGCTTTTGCGAAAACGGCCATTAGGGCTTTATTTATTTATTTTGACATATCCACGGACATGATTCGAACTCGATCGATTACGAGCTGTCAATCAAAGTGTCGCCTAGCCAGTCGCCCGCTGCGAAAACCAATCTAGTGTTGCTCGAGACGGGGAAATGAACTGTCAAAGTGAGATTTCTAAGTGAAAATTAAATGAATATTTTTGAGTTTATCTTGCCTAATGAGATAACATTTACAACTGTAAATCACCCTCAGTTAAAACAAGACCGCCTGTCAGTTTAAGACAAAGACTATTTGGCAGGCGATTGCGAACTACTAAAATGAAAAATGAAAATTACACCTTTTGTGAAAACACGCCGGCCCGCCGTAATCCCTACAAGGCTTGTCAAACTCGTTCATGACGGACAACAACGATAGATTTGTATCATGAAGAACGCTGTGTGATCACATATGATCATTTCAGTCATTCAGAGCAATCTGGTTTATAACCGAAGCACAGAAGCTCAAGAAACCAGCTATTTGATTTTGAATTTGATTGACAAGTATGATATAAATTACTCAAATAGTTGATGAACGCAATTTGATGTCGGCAACTGGATGATGGATMAAGTTGTCAAATTTTGGTCTTAGTCAAATCCGCGGAGATTGTTATTATTATGAGCATTATCTTGAAATGAAAGACAGCGAATCGACAAGTCGGCAAGGCCAAACACACAGGTCAAATTTGTCGCAACATATGATTTTCACTACTCGGTTTTTTCCCTTGAATCGTAAGTTTTTCACTTTGATAAAACAACAAAAATCCTTTCRAATACAATCATATTGATTCATTAAAAGTCTAAWACAGTTTATATCTAGTGATTYGTGWTAATGASAATCTTCTGAGTCGGGTTATCTGGATTTTGTCTGAATCATTGACGATAGAGGGTAAAACTACCTCAGACGATGCCGACGTTATTAAACGTCAATCAGGATTGGACCAAGTGAAGCGATTGACAGAGTTGAGCCCAATTCACGCCATTACTAACAGCTTTTTGATGCAAAACAGGCTTATCTCAAAGGTTTCTCATCGATATCCTACAGAACAACGACATAGTCATTTTGTACAATAATAATTCAGCTGTGCTGTTGTTTGTTTTAGAAAGTTGGTTGACGCCGGAGGCAAGATTGCAGCGAGCGACTGTTAATGGGCAAACACTGGAAATCGTGTTATTAAGTTGGAGAGCTCGAATCGGTCTTAATCCAGACTGAGAGTCATCGAACTTCCCGTTTTCAATGCCTTCAAAAGAGCCGAACACATGTCTTATGTTTACAACAAAAACTATCTTCCTTTTTTCAAGTTACCTATCAATACACATGCCATATTACATGACAGTTTAAAGACAGGGATGAGTGAAGAGCTGAAGAACTATTTTCGCATCTTGCTCATGATAAGCCCTCTTGTTAAACGCCGACAAAAATAAGAACACAATAATGATTTCCTTGTAATCCTAGTGTTGGATGCTAGCAGTTCCTTCACGGATGTTCGATAGTAATATGTATCAGTCGTTGTTGGTTTCCTACGTCAGGCGAGTAGGGTGGGCATCCTATTATAGCTATTGTGATAGAAGGGTTTCGTGACAATCGATAACCACAATTACCAAAGTATGGCCACTCGTTTGTTCAAGTGAAATTGAAGTAATTTGGAGTGAATTAAGAGAGAAAAGAGAGGAAACGAGAGGAAAAAAGAATAGAGGAAAACAAAGCAGGGGAAGTGGAAGATATTGAAAGTAAAGAATAAAAAATACGAAACGACACGACACGACACGAGAGAGAATAGGAGAAGAGAAGGGGGGGTCAAAAGAAAGAGACCATACTAGCTTCAACAAAGAGATACAAGGAATTAAGAAGAGAAAGAAATTATAAAAAGACACCGGATAACAGAAAATGAAAATAGCTTCAAAAACTGCCATGAAACGAGACGGAATTTAAGGAGAAAAGCAATATATCAGAAATTCAAGATAGCTTTATTAAAAGCTATGAAGAATAGGGGAAAATAGGCGAATAGAGGAGAAAAATAGGAGATAGAGGGTTGGGTATAGAAAGGGTTCTAACTTAAAAGTAATAATAAAAAGAAAGAGACGAGGAATTACGAAGAAACTGAAAGTCACATAATGACAGTCAACATAGATAACAGGTCACGATCAGAAGGGATATCAAATAAGGCCTAAGAAACGAAGAGAATTAGCAGAAAGCAAAAAAAGAAATAAAGAAATAAGTTCGCTATGCTTAGTGCTCTGTTACCAAAATTAAGAAGTGTTAGAGAGCTTGAAAAGGGAAAACATAACAAAGAATTAAAGAAGTCATAATCACAAKTGAAAAACTGAAACCTACAATTTCTACAGACTCCAAAAGACATGATATCTACAGCAAATATTCAAAGAGGAAAACAAGAAATCCTAAAGCAAACCAATTAAAGTGGTTGCTGTGCAGATGAGAGTGTAGTACAGCAGTTTTGACAGTATCTTTGTGTGAGCAAGTCCGCCAAGCATCTGCCTTTACATTGCCTTTAGGCAATGAAGACAGGTCTTGATGTCGGCAGTTTTAGTACTGTCATAGCCTCTTGCAATTGTTTAATATCTATCGAAAACTAATAAAATGTCGGCTGGTCAGCAAACGTACAGCGCCAAGATAAACACGTTAAACACTAGTCATCGCTCAATTGTTCTTTCGTATGTGAGATTGCGTGGTTTGTTTTCGATGTTCATTTATTAACTCATAGAATAACATGCCCTTTTGGAATTGTTGGCATAAAGATAAATTTATCATTAGATTTCTTATTCAGTTTTCTGATTTTATTTTTCTTCAGTTTCTTCATTATTGTAAGACAGTAAATAATGATTATAATGAATCATCAGTGAAATACTGTTTTTATCTTATTTCCGTTTGATATACTATAATCATTATCATTATCATCCACGAAATCATTATCATTATCATCACCATCATTATCACCACCACCACCACCATCATCATCATCATCATCATCATCAACTTTCCATATTCTTAATAATCAAGCTATATAGATTAAAAAACAACTCGAAACTATGGAAAATAAAGAATATATTACCGCAATTTGATCTTTAGAAAAGTTTTTATAATAAACCCCGGTTTTCAATACGTTATAAGTATAAGGGGAAATGGCTTTTAGGATCAGTAGGTCTAAGTAACAACAAGGTGCTTTTCTTTCTTTGTTCTTTTGTCTTTAATTAGATTATTCTTTGTCTTATGCTTATTGTTATGATTATGTTAATGTCTTATGCCGCACGCGACTTTATTCCTTTGTCTTTTCTATTGTTCTCGGCTTATATTTATGTCCTAGTGAAAAATAATTCCGATCTTTGTCACGGTAATTATGATAATTATCCATTCTGTACTGTCTTTGTTCTGATTGGTC